ACCATCCAGGTACTGACTGGGCTGCTAGCTTCAGTGGGCAACCATGGCAGAATTGCAGAGAGCTAGCTGCCAGCCATAGTATTTGTTTTTGCTACTAGGGAAGTCAATGGTTTCAGCTTTCTTTATTATGTTTGTCTTCAACAGAATAAAAAGTTTAAACCAGTTAGAATCAAGTGAAGGGAGAGTAAGTGATGACAGAACTCATTTTCTCAATGGCATCACTGCAAAAAGCACAACTTGGAACCTTTATTTTTAGAAGCGCATTAAGAGTGCCAGCTGGTGTTTAGTCCCTCTTCGGTCCAGAGTCTGTGCTTCTCTAAAGCCAAGAAGATATCTACTCAACAAATTCATCTAATCTATTATAGAGAAGCACTCGTAAATGGTAAATATTTGGATAACAGAGAGCACGGCAAGCTTAAACACAAGCATTACAAAGATCCAGAGAACTTTATGTAATCACACAACATTAAGCTTTTTGTCTTCGCGACAAGCTGTTGTTGACATTAGTATAATTTATACAGACTATATGAAAACTGTGGGCAGGAATGGAGTGTCTGCTGAAAGAGGGAACATTTGATGCAGAGGCTGTGCTCGAGAGATAACTCTAGGGTCACGGGTTCATTCTCTGAGTAATGTAGGTTTGGTGTGATGTCAGAGAGTTTCCTTGCTGTGTGCTTTGGCTCCAATATTCGCTGTGACCGCAGAGTTTAGGAGATGTGAGCACATACACACACACACTGATGCACCCCTTCAGGTGGCTACATATTTGTATTGCTCCAAACCCAAACCTTGATAAATTGCTATCGCGTCCATGTATGAAAACGTCTGCTGTTTGTTTTGGAAAACAAATTCGGCGCTCCTCCTTTCCCAAATACATTTCCCACTATGGAGCTTTTGACAGACTCCGGGGAGAGAGACACAGTGAGTGTCCCACAATGTTTTAGTTAGTTAGTTAGCTTTATTGGTCTCCGTAAGGAAATTTCATACACTCACAGAGACTTCTGACATTTCTGGCATATATATAAATAAATCATTTAAAAACATGGTACCCCTACTTTAAATAAATATCCAGTCTACTGGCCATCAACTGCTACTTATAGAGGAGGAATTAAAAAACTTAATTACTTGGGGTAAAAATGATAATATTTTCCCTATTTCTTACACACCTGGAAATATTGACTACCTGATGGTAACAATTGAAAGGTGTTTGATAAAGGATGTCTCTAATCATTGACAATCCTAATAGCCTTATTTATTACTCTTTCTTTGTATGTACTATCAATGATCTTTAGTTTTGTTATTACCACCTTCCCCAGTCACCTCTTCTACACCTCAAAAGCATTTCCATACTAACAGATCACACGAAATGTTGCAACACTTTTAATAAAAGCACTATAAAAGATGATCAACAACGTGCTGTCAACATTAAAAGATAGTTACAAGAAGTACATCCTCTGTTGAAGCTTTTTCTAACACAGTCAGTTCATACATCCTTAAGTTTATTGCCCAACATCGTACCCAAATATTTATAATTTGTTACCAACTGAATTTGCTCCCTATTAATTAATGTGTACTTCCTCCTCTTCATTTAAAAGGCTCACCAAAGCAGTACCATCTGCATACTTTACAATATATCTGTTGAACTTATACAATAATTGGTATATAAAATAAATAATAATTGAGATAAAACACAACCCTGGGGAGCTCCAACTGAAGTATGTGAAATAAACCCTCCCATTTTAACCTTTAATTCAGAAATACATCAATAATAGGTCTAAAAGAAGGCTGGATGATTCAGAAAGAAAGATGCGATGTTAGGTTTGACTTTGTTTGGAACTTTAATCATCTATTAACATTTCCGTTCCGCGAAAACTCATTTATTCGCATCACAAATGATCAGCGTGACTGTAATCTTTTCAAAATGCTGAGGATAATGCAATTAGTTTGATTCTGTTTTTTCAATCTGCCCTTAAAATATACATTATAAAATCTAACTTTGCATAATGTTGTAAAGAAAATAATTTCCCCATTGTTGGTCTGTGCCTGCAAAACATGAAGATCCATTAGAATCGCATAATTGTGGTTAACCACGTCATTATTCACAGGATAAAATTCATCTGAACTCCTACAGGGGAAAAAAGCTCAAATGGAGCGCAGAGGCTCTCTCACAATAGGGAAATTTGCAATTGACTAAATGCGAAAAGGTTAAATGCCAAGTTCCACTTATAAAAACGTAGAAAAAAAACCCAACTTTTTTCATTTTTGTTTTGTTTTGTTTTATTCAACTAGCTTAGAGGGGATCTGGCATGAATCAGGCTGTATTCACTATTAACCCAGCTTTTAAAATGCACATATTGTTACTCTGAAAACAACCGGGAAGACCATTAACAGAGCCCGTAATATGCTAATTAAGAACAGAGCCATTTCATCCAGCGCAACAGCACAGAGGCATTGTGGGTAATTAACTATCTGCACAGACACACATAGAACATATCAAAACTTTTAAATAAACATTGTTTTCCTTTCTTTGTTTACTTAAGCATGATAAAATATCAGCACGGAGAGAATAGGTCAGTCTGAACTGTACTTTAACCCATGCATTGGTCATATGTTTAGATCCAGCCGGGGACTAAATAGAGCAAGGCTTGGCTTAGCAAGGCTGATAAAACGCACCCAATCTAAGTGAACTCTCAGTAACCTGCTGAGGCAATCCAGGGAGATGCTAGCTAGGAGCTCAGCTGCTTTGGTCTGGTATCTGCAGGCTCCAGACTTCTGAAGTCAGAAAGCAATGGGGCATCTTTCAGCTGCTGACAGCACATTTTAAATACTGAGTCGTTATTGTTCAATCGTATTGACCTGCTCTGTAAGGATGCATACCTGACCAATGGATCATATCAACTCAAAGAATGTGAAAAGGTGTCTTTCTCTGGATTATTGAAGTAACATATCCTGTATATAATTAGTGTTCATTTAATTTAGATCCCAGTTCTTGCTTATGTTGTTGTCAATGCTATTTTTGCATGCATTGTATATTTACAGTTAAAGTCAGAATTATTAACCCCTTTCATTTTTTTTCTTTTTTAAATATTTCCCAAATTATGTTTAACAAAGCAAAGACATTTTCACAGGTTGTCTGATAATATTTTTGCTTCTGGAGAAAGTCTTAGTTGTTTTATTTCGACATGAATTAAAGCTGTTTTTTTTTATTTTTATAATTTTAAGGTCAATATTATTAGCCCCAATAAGCTATATATTTTTTCAATAGTTAACAGAACAAACCATCATTATACAATAACTTGCCTAATTACCCTAACCTGCCTAGTTAACCTAATTAACCTAGTTAAGCCTCTAAATGTCACTTTAAGCTGTATAGAAGTGACTTGAAAAATATCTAGTAAAAAATTATTTACTGTCATCATGGCAAAGACAAAATAAATCATTGATTAGTATGAGTTATTAAAACTATTATGTTTAGAAATGTGTTGAAAAAAATCTTCTCTTCATGCAAAAATTGGGGAAAAAATAAACAGGGGGGCTAACAATTCTGACTTCATATGTAAATTATTTTTTTCTTCGGTGGATTGAATTATACATACTTTATTGAAATCTTCCTTAAAATGATGTTTCTTTATAATTCCACCAATGTAATTCAGTTAGGAAAAAATTAAACAAAGCTTTGTATTCACTTTGTCATTATGTTTAAAAAAATGTAAGGAAATGCTTTATTTAAATAAAATTTTGTAACCAAATATGTAGAATGAGGGAATGCTGTGAGACAGCAGGCTGATATAGGAAGTAATGACAAACACGCAGGGATGCCTTTGAAATATATTCAATTGTGGGGAGCTGGATACCATTTTTGTACTGCATTTTTGTTGAAAACCAAAAGCAACACAATAGAAGTGTAAAGAAATACAAATACTTTTGAGAAAAGAAACATGAGAAAATGGATATTCAACCCCAAACCCCACTGTCTTTATTCATAATGAATACAGGTTATGTGGCCTCAATTAGCCAGTCGCACTCCTCCTCCGTCTGTCTCGAAACCAACCCTTTTATAATGTATGTATGTATGTATGTGCATATATATATATATATATATATATATATATATATATATATATATATATATATATATATATATATATATATATATATATAATGCATATAAAATCTTTTGTTTTTATGTGTAATCGTATTTTTGAGTTATAATTTCAATAATTATAAATATGTAATTGTATTTTTGTACATACACAAATTTTTATTGTGTAAAATAAAAGTCAGTGATAAAATACATTTCTGGCCAATATCAGTTTTTAAAAGATTATTATATCTGTACCATATTGCAGTGTGTTCTACAATTGATCTAATTTTAATTCAAGCTGTCTATGTAATTTAAGTTGTGATATAAAAAGCAATAAAATAATTTTGACAAGCATGTTTGATTTGGAGCTGAATTCAGCCTCTTCTGTTTTGAGCAGATGTTTGGAGAGAGTGTATTTATTTCAACCCACCAACAGCTCCTAAAACAACTGCGGAAAATAAGGAAGCCAATATGATTCTAGCTGTGCCGTTTCTCCGCTCAGATGCATGCAGACTATCGCACAAGTGTCTTCCGCCTATTTTTCCATTCATTCCTGTACAAAAGCAAACAGGGGCGACTCGCTTTAACTGTCCTGCTCTTCACCAAAAGCTCTTTTCCTCTCTCTCTTTCTCTCTCTCTCTCTCGCTCGCTCGCTCACTCACTCACTCTCTCTCTCTCGTTCAAGCCCTTTTCCCCCTCCAGTACTTTTTCCTGCCCCTCTCTATTTATGAAAACGTCACTTCAAGTCCCTCCCTGTTTGAATCTCATTAGATTTTTTTTCTTGTGTGTTTCTCCCTGTCAATAATCCCGAATCCAGACTCTCTCTATTTCCATCCCTCTCTATCTGTCAATCAGCGCCGCCTTTGAACTGAAAACCACTCCGACCAACTTCAACTCCCTCAATCCGAGCGCCTCAGCTCCGTCTCCGGCTTCTGTTTCTGCCAAGATTGCCCTCTTCTTTTTGAGTTTTGAACACTCACCCAGCCAAACGCCACTGCGAGTCCCTAAACTTAAAACTCGGGATTCGGGGATCACACCAAGATCAAGGGTTTAAAAACTTTTGGGTGTTTTTGGCCCCCCGCAAAATTAGCGCTCCTCGGGAAAAATGCCGCAGCTGAACGGTGGTGGAGGGGACGATCTGGGTGCGAACGATGAAATGATTTCCTTCAAAGACGAAGGCGAGCAGGAGGAAAAGATTTCGGAGAACTCCTCAGCAGAAAGGGATTTAGCAGATGTCAAGTCTTCTCTCGTAAACGAGTCGGAAACGAATCAAAACAGCTCTTCGGATTCCGAGGTAAGTGACAAATAAGCGCGAATCCGCGACTTGTCCACAAGTTTACATGCACTTTTTCCTGCTTAAACACGCTGCTAACTAGCTAACGTAACGATCTCCTCGCTGTGATTATTCAATGCATTCCCTGTGTTTCGTTGCATTTCAAGGCGGAAAGACGGCCTCCGCCTAGATCTGAAAGTTTCAGAGACAAAACAAGAGAAAGTTTAGAGGAGGGTGAGTGCTTCTTTTCTCTAAATCTCCTTCTTTTTGTTTTTGCACAGGACAACAACACGGTGCATCGGTTTCACTTTGCTTCTGCACATACGTAACTTACAAAGTTTTTTGGGAATGTAACTTAAACTAAAAGTTTTCCTCTTTTCCCCCCCGCCATGTTAGCTGCAAAAAGGCAAGATGGAGGGCTGTTCAAGAGCCCACCGTACCCGGGCTATCCATTTATAATGATTCCCGACCTCACGAGCCCGTACCTCCCGAACGGATCGCTTTCTCCGACCGCGCGCACAGTAAGTGTTTTTCACGTCTTTCTGCAGCCACATGCACGTAGCTAAAGCACCACGTCCATGTTTAGGGATTGCTTTGGTGGGCTGGTGAACTTCTGCCACACTTCACAGCCTGCACTACTGTACAGTGGCACGCCGTTCGCGCGGACACACTGGCCGAGCGCTGCCAGCCCGCGAGCGAGCGCGTGAACAGAGCCGCGCGAGCGGCGAGTGCAGTGGGACGCGCAATGTGCTTTCATGACGTGCACAAAAACACAGACACTGGAACTTTAATCTCTGCTCTTATTATTTCTTTTCGTTTTCCCCGACACTCTCTGGCAGGTTGCGGTTGTTTAAGAACATTTTTACGGCTGCTTCTTATTTTTTATCGTAATTGTTTATGTGCCTGAATAACTGCTAGACGTTATATCGTTTGCTTTAGACTAACGTTAGACGCCTAATTTTACAGTAGCGCAGATTACCTAATTTATTCAACTAAAATCTTAATGTACGTTTGAATTTATAATAACATTGTTATTACTATTATTAATGTTTTTGTCGTTATGATTTGTGCACTTGCAAAAAATAACATTCTTTTTATATCAAACCCTCAAAATAGAAAGCTTGAATTAATTTATAATGTAAGTATATTTTAAGTAAAATCAAAGTGGTGCCTTGCTTATTACTGCCTGTGCCTTTTTCTGCTACTTAAATTGAATTCCTTATGAACAAAATCGAGGTAGAAGTGACAGAAATTATTGTGACAGTTTAAATGGATGGAAACAAAGATGCTCTTATGACATGGCGATGAAAACATTTTTACAGTGTGCCACATAAAACGTCATTTATCTGAGCTAATTTATGAGTCATTTATCCCAGCTTAGCATAATGTCGCTCGTGTTATTTAAAGAATGCAATGCACATAAACATTATTGCCAAAGAGCATCATGGGAAATGTTTATGGTAATTAGTGGAAGTCATTCAATCAATTTGTGATCGTCAGAATGAAAGCACATTATTGCTCATACCACACTTGATTCCAGTGTAGTAAAATATTACTCAGTAGCGTCAGAAATATTTTAAAATGAACAATTATTTTGAGTTATATATTTGCATTTGTTTTCATGGCATGGACTTTGTGTTTAGTGCATGCAGCATGTGATAATTTCATTTGAATAATGTTTATATACAAATGTAAATACAAATGATGTTGTTTAGATTGGGTTTGGCTTTGCATAGTTATGCATATTTGTCCAGCACTTCTCTTGGCATCAGAATGAATTAGAGTTGATTGATTTAGTCATTTCCTTATTCAAAAAGACTAGTTTATGTGTTGTAAAAATGCTGTTTATGTGGAAATAATTTTTCAAGGATCAGGAAAATTGTACTGCTATTCCTGATTTCCCTAATCAGCTCCAGGCTTAATCTGAAACGTAAAGATGCGCTTTATGACAGTGACGTGATGTGCAACCTGAAGTGAGTTGAAATATCCTGCTGTGAAATTGTGGATTTAACTTCAGGTGTTTCATTTTATTACACTGTTTTTTAATATCAGAGACATTTTTTTGGTTTGTTGTTGAAACATCTGACTGTCGTGGAAATTGCACGCTTCCCAAAACATGCTGAATGTTTTTTTCACCTGCTGATCATTTCTGTGCTGATGCTCAACGTTTAAATATAAGTGCACAGAATAATAATGAACGCTTTAGTATAGCAAGTGCAAGGAAAATGATGGAAGGATTTGACACACAGCGTGTTTTGCTCGGTTGTGAATAATCTCAGAGATGCTTTTAATATGAGAGTTCTTCTACCTGCCGAGATGGAGCCTGCTCTAAATCGTTGGCTTATTCATTTAAGGCTACCAAGAATATAGAGATCTCCCCTGGAAGTAGGATCATTGTTTGATTTATCCTCCCCTATATGTGGGAGTCAACCCAGGACTCTTCTGGCCCTCTAGCCTAAATATTCTACCCGTAGATATAGTGAATTTCTTTATAGTTGTGTGTTGTAATGTTTGATCTCTACTGTAACCGGGCCTACAGATCTCAGTCTTTGACATTGCGCTGTAGCCCTTCACCCCGTTTTTTTTTTTTTTTTTTTTGTGCCATGAGGTCTGCTACCTATGAGCTGCCTGGGCGTCCGACCCACACCGCTTTGAAGTTGAAAGCCGTTGTATTCATAAACGCATTACTTAAGTAGAGGATAAATAATTCACCTGAGCATCGATTAGCTGTCGCTTCGTTTAACGAACACAGTGGGCTTGTTGGGTTTAGCTGCCGACAACGTGGCTTTTAGCAATTTTTGAGCATTTTTAAAAAATAATCTAAATTATATTTAATAAAAGAAGATGATTTAGTTCAGTTTTATTTTATCTCAAACATTTTAAATTAATTTATAAACCATTATTTAAGCTGTAAAGGAAGAGTGTATGCCGAATGCCAGTATTGCTATTAGACAATTGACAATTTTTTTTAGGACAAAATAAAATTCACGTAAGCCTTGTGTCAGCTGAATTTCCCTGACGCTCCGCTCTTGCAATAGTGATGAAATGTTTTTCCTTAACTGTGTTTGAGAGTGGTTTTAATTCGCCTGACCCCTGAGAGCTATAATAACGGTGAGTTTGTATTTCCAACCACTCAATCGGAAAAGCTTTACGATCATTTGGTAGCATTTAGCAATTTGACATGACGTTCTTCCGACAATGCCTGTGCACTCTTCTCTCCCCCCTCACTAAGACTGCAGACAATAGCCACTCTTCCCCCTTTTCATCGAGAGCAGTTTGCGTGCCGGACACACTCAGTGTGTGTGTGTTGTGGTTGGAAAGGTGCTGGGTTAACTGGGTGGCTGTAGGCTAAAATCACACCTCAACAGGTCTGTGTGGAGGGGAAAGCGAGGTAGAGCAGAGGTCTGGCCGGCTGAGTTCTGGCAGGGGGCTTTATGCCCGTAAATCCGCTGGGTTTATTTACTGCCTCCCTGACTTATGAATGTTAAGATATTTGACGCCACCCCTGGCCCCATAATTCCTTAGGCCTGCAGACTTTTGGCAGAGGTTTCAGGTTTCAACGTATAATTATGCGTAGTTTAAAAAAGGAACAAATATAAAAATAAAAAAAAAACTTGCAACACCCAAACGCACTCTCTGAAATTAGGAGCAAAGAAAAAGAAATGCAAAGCAGAAAAACATGCACTTTAATATCAAATATTTACAAATTAATTAATATTTGAACTGTAGATGCCTTCGTTCCTCATGCATGTACATATTTTAAATAAGCGTGACTGAATCTTTTTAAGCTGAGACGTCAGCAACAAAGCTTTATCGTATGGATTATGCGTGTTGAATAGACTGTCGTGTGAGGTGCAGGAGATAGTTTAATACGGATTTACAGGGATAGACTCGTACCTTATCAAATTGGCTTTACATGTTAATGGCCCCTAATTGCTATCCGCAGGGGGTTCACTGAGCTACGCGCTCGCGTTTTGTGCCGCTCACCGCAAAATACACACTCCCAGTTTATTTAGAAGGTTGCCATCCTTTTGTTTTGCAAATCACTTTTGTTTACAAAGAATGGCAGAAGCAAGACTCCCTCTTTCTCTCCCTCTTTCTTTCTCCTCCTTTTCCCCTTTTTTCTCCTCCTTCCATCCAACACTGCAACAAAAAAAAAAAAAACCCAAACGGTTTCTGTTTGCGAAGGCTTGATAAACACCCATAAAAAAGTGCAATCTGTTTTGGATTTGTGCAAGTTAAGTTGGGGAGCAAAGTTTGGCACCATTAAACTGAAAGCGGGGCCTGTGAGACATTAGCGGCGCACAGCACATTCTCAGGGCTTAATTAGTCCAAACTGTAATTGTTCATGGTCTGCCAATAGGAGTAATGCTCAGGAAGAGTGGAGTTGCGCTAAATCGGCCCATGGTTTTTAAAACAATAAATCACTCGCATATTTGTGTCGTGATTCAGATAGAGTCCCGACCTCTCCCATCTCGACATGTGGTAAATTGTAAAGTCAATGAATCGCAGATGTGGGTGGGGGGGAGATCGGAGGGGGTGGGCCGTGAAAGAGTACAGTACGGTTTTGTTAGTGCTTGGTAAATGAATGGAAAAGATTTGTGCTGTAAATATTTACTGAGATGTGTTTTTTTTTCTTGACTTGCTGTGCTCAATTGTCTTACGTTGATGATTTTGGCAGGCTGCTCTCTATGATCGTGTGTGAATGTAACCTGGAGTTTTTTTTTCCCCTATCCTGATTGTTCCTTTCTCCCTGTGTCACGCTGGTGTTTTTCAAGGCAGCGTTGTGTATACACAATGTTCTGCACTAGTTCAATAGTTAATGAAGGTTTCTTGTTCGGACGTGGACTGTAAAGAATTTCGTAATCGTGAAAAATAAATAAAAAAATGTGTTTTTTTTTAAAAATAAAATTTTAGCGAATGCCTTAAATTGTCAATTGTATATCTGTCAGTTCCTTGATTTATCTCTTTTGCATTTGTTTTTAAAGCTGCAAACGCAATGGAGTAACTGATAAATGGGGAACTCAGATAAATGCCGTTGTAAATTGTGTGTCTGCATTGGCTTAGCAGCTGTGTGTTGTTGACCCCACCCCTCACCTCTCTCTCCTCTTCGCCATTTATTTCCATACACAAAGATCAACACAAAGATCGTACTGTACGTCTGGAATGCAACTTTTGTCATCTGTTAAATATAGTCCTGCTGCTGGCCTACACGTTGAGGGGCTCCTCAAACATGGAAATGAAATTACTCTTTCTCTCTGTGTGCACATGCACCGTGCGCAGGCCTGTGCAGCTGTATGATAGCTGCGTGTGAATTCTTAAATGACAGGCAGATTTTACTGGGGTGTGTGGTGATGGGGGCGAGATTTCAAATGTGTAAATACATTTGTACATTTTAAATGAGACAAGAGATGTGACTTTTAACATGAACATATTGCTTATTTTAACATGTAAGAGCTTTTCTTATTATTTTTAGGAGATTTTTATTAATTAATTGATTTATTGTTTGACCTTCAATACC